CCCGAAATGTGAGAAGCGCACTCGTTCCAACTTGAGCAGCTGAGGTGCTGTGTTTTCCAGGGAGGGCGACGAATGATGCAGATTTTGCATCTGTCTTTAAATGCACCCCAGGCTGTGTTGGAGAGTGTGGTGCCTGTGGTCACCCCGACCCCCATCTCTAGGCAACCTTCTCCTCTTTGTAATATCGCCCTAGTTAACACTGTTCTCTTATCTTTTGGGAGGTGGGAGTCCCAGAAGGTGTTAAAATGGAAGGGGCACCCGATCATACAGGTTGGTTTCTGTGGTTGCCTTCAGGAGCATGGCTTGTGGATAAAGAGCAGAGGAAAGCATTTCAAAGGCAGCCTAGGTTTTGGCTCCTTTCATGGTGAGAGAGTTACTGCAGAACTGTGTATGACTTAATGGTTTGCGCTATCTACAGGGAGTCTAAGCGGTGTTCCTGATGACAGGGAAAGAAATAAGGGCAGGAAAATTCTGAATAGAGCATAATTAAGGGTAGTTCATAGATCTCCGATTTGTAAATGCAGTGGTTTGGTTTTTGTTGTTTGTCTTAATTTATTTTTCCTGCAGCAAAGCTTTTAAAACAGTTTCCTCTGCAATATCTAGCCTTTGACATTCAGTGAGGTTGGATTTTGGAAAGCAAGGTATAAATCAGGAGCAATCAGTTGACCATTGTACTTGGTGTGAAGTCGAAGAATAAAAAAATGCTTGCTAGGGGATTTTTACAACACTCACGCAGTCTGCATTTTCAGTGAAGCAATTATTTTTATTAGATGTATTGGAAAATTGAAAGAAAACTTGCAGCTATGGTAGTGGTACACTGAGACACGGATTAGATAATGTCTGTGGTATATGAACCTTTGAAATTCACAGCAAAGTTGAAGCACTTGTTTTTCTTTTTGCTAGTGTGTCAGGTCAAAGATAGGTTATCTATCTGGCTTTGCTATATTTATGGCTGCTTTTATACAAAGCACCTTTTTTTACTTTTGTGTACTCTTCAAACAAATCACCACAAAAGTCAGTGTAAGTTTGTGAGGTTGTCATCCCATCAAAACACTAATGTGAATATGGTTTTCTTTTTATTATACCTTGCTTCAAATAGGCCTATACCGAAATCGCTCATTTTTTTTCTTCTTAGAAGATAGGCAGTCCCAAGAAATACATTCATGTATTAGCTGATACTCAGTTTATGTGTTTTTAAAGGAACACATTTTTATGAGTTTTCCCATTTTTACTCTAGATGATGTGATAATGGTATTTGTGTGCTTACCTAGTACGTTATAACCTGATGAGAGGCCGTAGGGCGCTCACAAGCTGGAAACTGATTTGAATTTGGAACCAGTGTGGACTCTGCAGCCATCATGCCTATTGGATCAGTTCTTAACAGATGGGTTCTTTAGATACACAGTAGACTAAAAAAGGAAGTGAAGTATTTGTCTTGTGGTAAAAAGAAATTTAACTCTTCAATGAAATGAATTCTGCCACAAAAGATCTAAAACATTTGTTTTTCTTTGTAGATATTTACTCTTAGCTTAGACCTTAGAAATATTGTGAAACCAAAATTGTATACACCTCAATTCCCCAATTTGATTTTTGGGATAGAAATACTAGGTGTAAATTTTCTTTGCTGGGATTTAAAGAATGCAATCTATTTTTAGATGGGAACTTTTGGGGTAAAGAGTAGATGACAAAAAGAGCTATTTATTATTATGTTGCTGGCTGTATTGTAGTTCCTGAATTATCCATATGAGGTATAGGTTTTTGAATTGTAGGTTTAAACTTTATTCTTCAAAAATTGCCATACTTGAAATTGTGGAATTTTAAGTTGATTCTTAAAAATATATTTGCATCACAAAACTTACCAAAGCTACATTTTTATATAAGAAGTTAGCCCAACCAGTAAAATTCATTTAGAGTACTGAGGGATGTGTTAAAAGTTGGAAGCTTTTAATATTTCTAAACTGAATTTCTTTTACCTTGTATCTTAAGTTAAATGTGAAAGAACAATATAAGGTGGGAACAGTGAAACATCTTGTACATTGGCCCATAACAGAAAAGGAAGGGAAGTAATGAAACTTCAAATTTTTATAGTATGCTTGGCATACTCACCTTTGACAAAATATTTGTTTTTTTTTTTTTCCTGTTCATTCATTCTTTCTGTACAATGAGAAAATATGAGAATACTAATGTTTGGTCTTTAGATGCTGTTCCACATTTGCCTTACCTGAAAAAAAAATGCCAAGTAAAGTTTAAATATGTAGTAAAATACAGGACTTTACCATAGCTCTGCTTGGAATTTTTCTGCTTTTTATCCAAGGCAGAAGACATTTTTCCTACTCAGGGGTTTCAGTGAAGAATCACAGTGTAATATATAAAGTGAATGATGTCACTGTAGGTGCTAGCATTGTTTATCATGGTGTTGTAGGTGACTTTAAACATTCGAATATGGGACAGAGCTATCAGGAAGATGATTGGATTAGTTTGAAAATAAGGTTACATGGACAGTGTGTGGTCAAGGATTTGCCTTGTGGCTTTCTACCAGTGACTAAACCTAGTCAGGAAGCTGGCTTCAGGAGGAATTTTTTATGTGGTATCATAAGAGAGTTTATGTTGAAGAGGTTTTATTGCTTAGCTTTTTTCCTGTAAAGCAGGCATACTAAAGCCTATTGTTTCCTTTGTAAACATCTTGACATGTATTTATAGAAAGTTTCTACTTCCTTCAAATGAATGCTATGTACATACCATGTCTTATCTTTGTTTATAATGTGGAAGTTTCTTTTTTTAAAAAAACATAATTTTTTAGGAAAAATAAGAGAATATCTAATGAAATAATTACAATAGTGTATTAAATTATAAATTAATTATTATTTTAGAATTCAACTATAGTCTTGTAGATTTGTTTCATGAGTTCTTGAATTTGATTTTTTTCATGAGTTTATAGATTATATTAATTACTATGAAATGTATCATTGGTCTTTAGTAGTAGGAATGAAATTACTCTAATTTCTTAAAAAATATAAGTGGAATAATTGTTTAGTGTATTGAAAGATGCAACTAAATGCATAAAAGCAATTAGACTAGTAAATTCCTCTTGATGTATGGATCATGGTAATTTTGTGAGAAGGGTTATTTTGTTATTTTTTTTAACTAAATTATGACTATAGCTCTTTTTCCTTTAGAGTCTATTTATTTGCAAGTTAATCAGAATAATTTATATTTTACTGATAGTGCTTCATAAACCAAGTACATATGAATTGAATTTATTAAATTTATACACATAAATTAAGTTTATTAAAAATATACAATTAGTGATAAAAAAGAGGCTATGACTTTGATAGAGAGTGGGGAGGGATTATAGAAGGACTTGGGGGGAGGAAATGGATTGGAGAAACATTGAAATTAAATTATAATCTAAAAAATAAATAACAAAAATTCACAGTTGTATTTTAGACTAATGGAAGTGTTTAATTGCAATGAAGTTACATTTATTTATGTTAAAACTGTTTCTTGCATATTAATACATATTGACAAGTGAACCTATGTATAGACCTTACATATTTATTCTTGGTGTTCTGTATGGGAAATTAAATATGTAAATAGTATAAGTTTGGTGTCTTAAGGAGCTTAAGGATATATGTGTATATATATGTATATATATATCGCATATAATGACATCAAAAATCGTCATCTAATGATACTAAAGCAGCAAATATTATATAGTTTTCTGTGATCAAGTTTTATAATTTTAAATAAATACTTTGTATATAGCTGTTTTGGGGACTAGTTAGGCCATTGTTTGAAAGTGTCCTAAGGCTCTTTCTTGACTCTTGGTATGCATTTTCCATGCATAGTATAGTAAATTTCACAGCTGAGTGTTTGTACTGATGCAGGGAAGATCCTAAGATGAGGGTTAAGGCAATACTATTTCTGTAAGACTAAAACTTAAAAGCTGAACCTAAATTGGTATCCTGAATCTTGCCAAGACCTATTGTTTTGACTACTAATTCAAGTTTTTGACTGAAGTACATGACTGAAAATTCAGTAAGGTTTTAGGGAAACTACTTCCAGAAAATACTCAGCCTGATCAAGTCCATATTCTTCTTCTTCATTCTTTTTG